AATATTTTACGCAACAGAAATCTCGTCATCTACTGAAATTTTTTTTTCAATCGCGAAGAATGTTGCGCAAAAATTTCCGATTCCAATTTTGAACCCCTCTCCCTCTTAAGAATCCTGGCTGCGCTACTGCTTATAAATAATGTCATTTCTGAATTCAGCTTCTTTGCCTTATTTCGAAGCTATACTGTTGTCAAATTTTATTAAACATGTTATTGCTTCTTAGAACAATTACAAAATTAGCAAAGTCAGTATTTTGAAAAGTAATCGAATAGCACGCGGAGCCCCTAGGTTTCTGGGGATCCGTACGGAGCACTTTGAGAACCTATGCTATACTAGACATGGACTGGTAACCAGACGAGAGATAATTGTTCGCCAAATGCTTAACTTTCTTCTCCCCTGGATAAGTATATAAATGCTGACCTAGCAAAAGACACGTAAAAAATACATATTGCGTAAATGGCTGGCCATATTAACATTGTGTGGCTTCTCTATAATCAAACATACTGCCTTTATATTTGCCCATCATCTCTTACACGTTAGGCATTCAAATTTCATTATATATCAATTATAATCCTCAATTGCTGCCCCATTAACTTTATGCAAATCATTCAGAGATAATGAGACTCTCATCTCTGATCAGATATACGGACAATCACTAATACCGATCTATACTAAAACTATGCTGATTTGTGGCGGTGCTTTAAGCACCACAAATATCAAAGATATTGAAGTACTGTATGCCAAGTCAATAAGATCAGAAGAGCAAATATGGAAAAGTGCACTCCAAGTAATTAAATTCTTTAAAAAATGCCTTTGGCCGTAAACGTTTTTGACGTCGACAGAACAGTATGATACACTGGTATGTCAGCAATGCAATCAATCGCATATTCAAGATATTTCACACACTTGTATATTTGCATATTATATAATAATTATAAGGCTCTTAAATTACATTTTCTAATTCTAAGTCTTTGAAGATTTATAGTTGAAGTACAATGAACTCGCTAATCAGCCAGGACAGCCGAATGAACTCTTGCAATCAAGATCCGGAAATGAAATTGAAATTGACACTAAAATATAATTAGATTGATTTTATTTGTAATTTAATATTATGCTATGGTGGGGATTTTTCAAAAACCGGCTATTAGATGTTTTTGCGAAAACTTTCAATACAACCCTACGATACCTATATTTTGGATATGAAGTGTAAATATTAATCGTTCTGCTAAATTGTTGCTGGAAAAAAATTCTTTTCCTCGTAGCTAATGGACCATTTTTTTCAAATTCAAATTAAAGATGGAAAAAGCTGCTTGAAGTTTTTAGTTTTAAGCCTAGTTAAAAGCGTATATATATATACTGCTCAACTGTTTTATGCCAACCAACTGGTGGAAGGGCGAGGCTTACAGAAGGTTGCTCCTTCCGAAGGAAACAACACTGAAGTTTTCGTCAAAAAAATATATAAGCTTACTATAGTCGTACATTACCTGTACAGAGCTCATACGTCTCTTGAAAGTTCGAATCTGAAATTATAGACTATATTTTTTAAATTGGTGAATAATATTTTTAAGCTATTTTTAAAATATTTTTAAGCTTTCGGCCAACAAGATAACAAGTTTTCAGTAGCACAATTTCAGTAGGGTGATCTCAACTTTTTTTAGCGAACCCACACGAAACAGATATGTAAAATTCATTATAAAAACATTTTCAATAAACTTCAAAAAATCAAATTTACTGATAAAAGTCTCACATTTTGTGTTGTCTGTCCATGTGCCGCTTGGATAATCTGAAGAGAATAACAAAATATGAAACATTCATTGTAAGTGTGGATATAATTGGCTAACTAGTACTCAGTGAATAGTGCGAGCATTCGGTAATGGCATCTTCGCGTCCATATATTTTTGCATTGCTCTTTTATACCTATAAATGTATGAAACATTTCTTGAAATTTTTGAGAACCACTGAAATATAGGGATAGGGTTTGCCCAGTAAACATCTATATAATCCATACTTAGCTATTTTCGTGCTCTTGGTATAAATTTATTAATTTATCCGTTTACTGACGTTATCTCATCACACGCAACCAAGTCAGATTAAGAAAAAAAAGGGATTCTCTTACCTCTTTTGCCTGTTTTGGAATAGACGACGAGATTCCTATATGCAGCAGCAGAACTCTATAAAATAAGATGCGATTGCTCAATAATATTGCAGAATGTATTTTAAGGAGTTGGTATTTAAAATTCAAAAGTGGAAATCCAATTCAGAGACTAGTATTTTTAAAAATCCTCTGAGAATCAACGACTATTATGGTAAATTTAAAGAATTTTGGAAAGTGATTGTATTCAAAGTCAATGTTCGGTGCCAAAAAAAACCTCTTAGAATGCTTATAGTCCTACAGATACCTAATTTAAACATTTTGACTCTTAATTGTGTGTTTGATACTGAAATTGTAATCGATTTATATCCGGAGAAAATACACGCTTTTAATTTTAAAACTCAATATGTATCTTCGTAAAGTAAAAGCCTATTGTTCTGAAAAAACTAAAAAAAAATTGGTCTTCTCGAAAAAAGATGACAAAATTATGTTGCTCTGAAAATCAAGCCCTAAAGTATGCGAGGCTATCAATGAACTAACTAACACAACATCGCTTGTTAAATATTACATTAAATTGCTTTTCGTGTATTGAACCAACTTCCATTATCACCTCTACCTTTTAAACGCCACAAACTGATATAATACCAGTAAAAAGTTTGCAAAAAGGTAATTGAACTTTAACTTTAATTTAACTTGAACTTTAATTGAACCTATGTAAGTACCTTCAGTGCCGCCTTTACGCTATTTTCTCCTGCAGTTATCGTTAGTATAAAAGCCAGAAATATAATTAATAAACAGATAAAGTCAAACTTTGTCATGTCTAAGAAATACTTGTGTAATCAATGCCTAAATAATATTCAGCATATGCACACTTCCTAGTCTGTTTTACGCACAGGATTCAATTACGGTATTCCGCTAATAAGTTGCGACAAAACAAACTGTTATCCGGCCTAAAATTTGAAGCAAACAAACTAAACTTGCAAATATAAAAGTACAAGCTGAAAAGTAATACCCCGATTCAACATTTGATTGAAAAATACGATACCTCCGCATCAGGCTAGAAATAGCAAGTATATTAGTCATCTGAATGTTTATAGGCGAAAGAAGTTTAAAATGCTAAAACATCACATTATTCTTCAGAACTATTCAGCATAAATTTCGTTTTCCTGTTTTAAAATATTGGCTGCTTTGTATATTTATTTTGCTGAACATATGCACCTGATGATCTGCTTGATGCAGAAAACCAAACTGAAGTTAAGATGGAACATGTTGAAAGAATATAACATTAACCTCATCCAAAATTTTTTGAACCACCAGTGGTTGTTTCCAGACACATGTCGAATTGTGTTTTGAAGTAATTATGCTATTGTGCAATAATTTTGAAAATAGGCGTTTTGACATCCAATAAATGATATCTTAATTAAAATGCTGGATCATAGTTTGTATTAGAATATTAAAGTTCATCACATAATTGCAATTGCTTTTTCCGAAAACGAGGTATATATTACCATGGGTATTGCTATCTCCAACTTGGTCTTTGTTTAGGCTTCTAGCTTATTTGAGGCATTGTAGTCCTTATACCGGAACCTCCTCAATCCTCGACGTATGGACTCACTACAGTGAATAATGCGTTCGACTTATATGTGTTGGTATCGACGCTTATACTCAGACCCCTAGGCCAACACCCTATCCAATGTATAACAATTCGGGTGGGCAATCACGAACCGAAAAGATTCCGGTTATTCAAAATATATCAGCTTATTTAATATTGTTAGATTTCTGTGGTAGTATATACAGGGTGTTTTTCGATGCGAAAGATGCCTTGGCTCTATGTCGACTGAAATATTATAGATAAGGAATAAAAAATTCCAGACGGCCTTGCCTTGATTTCGTTTGACCCTGAGCCACAGTCATTCATGATATATTGTAATCCAGAAAACTACTCCCGAATAAAGATTATTGGTAAAATACTTTTGAAGATTTCATTTGATGCATAATGAAGAGTAGGAAAGTAGAAATCTGAGTAGGTGCAGGTAGGCCGATAGTTTGGTGCATCATGATAAGTGTTAGGAATATACCTGCTACCTAATTACACTGCTTAGGATCACTGGTTCGAATCCCGTGGAGAAAATATACGTATGAGAGAATATCTGGATAGCTCTCTCCGCTGTGGGTGTATTTCACAGCTTTCCAACTTTTGAAACAAAGAACAAATTATCCAATCCCATACCTGACAACGACCGGTAACCTATTATGATTTACGATATAATTGAGCCGTCCGTTTGACTTTGACCTGATGAGCATGGAATAAATAGGAAAATCCTTTAAAACGACATTTGTCGAAAAAGGTTGGGGACCACTGTCTAGCTGCCAATGACAAATTCCTGTTCCACACATTATATAAATAACAAATAAAACAAATATGGTTAACCCGATCGTTAATAATGTAATTTAGCAATCAAATATAAGAAACATTTCACAAAAATTACAGTACGTAATTGAATTTCAGAAGATTCGGAGAAAATTGTTTGATGTTTCTCAACGAAAGCAAGTGGGTCTGCAACCTGCACCCCAATGTATATGTATAGTTGAAACTGAAAAGAGTGAGCACAGGATAAACTTACTACACTTTATAGATCATTTCGTTTTGCCAGTATTGGGTTTTCTTTGATATATATTAACAGTTTATATAAATCAGGCAATAGAAGACGATTGAATAATTTCGCAGGCGTTCCTTCGGAGTGTTTCCTCGAGGTTCCGCTCCATTAGAGGTTTATACCCAATATATTATAGTGGATAGGCGTCCCAAAAGCGCGTTGAACTAACACTAATCGAATAAAACAATTTTTGGGAGTATCTCAATAATACCCTACCTTTTGTTAATGTAACTAGACCCAAAGTTGGTCGAGCCGTTATGAGCCTTTGTCTCATTTTGAATAAACATGAAATCCTATTCTAAATAATAATTATGGTTTGTCAAATATACCCAATTCAACAGCATATTACCCTTGTGAAGATTAAACTTGGTCGCATAGTTCAGACCTGAAACGATTAGAAACGATTTGCTTAAAACTATATCACGTAAAGGCACGTGTAACAAATAAATATAATATTAGACATGGAGTGGAGCTATCAATCGTTTGGTTATTATGAAAAAATCGCCTTTCTTTTTAACGCCAGAACCAGTTTTCAGTTGTTGAAGTTTGTTGTTCGCTTCGAAGGCTTCAAATTTATAGTGTTCGGGTAGGCTGTTATTTCTTTGTTTCAACAATTATGAAGCTCTGAAGCTTTTTTGAAGCAAACTCTCATTCACAATATGTCATTCAAAATATTGTTTAGTATAGATTTCACATAATTGTAACGAATTCTGAATATTATAAAATTATTCTCACCCTTCGTAACTTTCGCCCAACTGCCCATCTGAATTCCTGGAAAACAAATTAAACATTATTAACCGTGTAATGATTCTGTTGTGTAAATACATAAATGTTTTGATAAAAAAGTGGTGACCAACGAATGACATGACTGTGGAAAATTAACAATGGACCATTCCCCCTATTTGAAATGTAAAAAAAAAAATTGTTCTGTATCATAGCCTACATAGCAATTTTTCGTACCTAGAAACGTTTTTCCGACCCGAAAGACTCGTGAAATCTCTTTTTTTGCGGATCCGCCAGCTGTTACGGTCTAACTTTTCAATTAGAAATGTAAGAACCCTCACTCATTTGAAAATTCGTGGCTACGCCTGACCCACAGTACAATTATATTTTTGCATTTCACTGTTTATAGAATGAATGATGACAGCCTCATATTTTATCATTTTTTCCGAATTTTCTATTCTTACACAAACTTTCACGTAAGATATCAACTGATATATACTTATGTCGTACAAAGGCGTGCATTCGTAGGAAATTGATAGAAAGAGTGACGTATTTGGACAAATAGAAAAGGGAGAGAGAGAGACAAAAAGAGTTCAAACACGAGTAAACAGGGACTTATATTAGAATAATTACCTGCCTTTCCCATTCCAGCATAGGTGACAACAGCTTTGTACGCAGCAGCTGTCTGTTGAATAAATATTGTGGTTTATTAATATTGCACTATCTACCCAATTTATTTTGGAACATATATCTGAAAACTTTCAAAAAGATTCGTTCTGGGCACATATTTAATTATATTAATAAACAATTTTATTGACAGTATCTGCTGTACAGCACTGATTTCTGTTCTATCGGCCAACTAATTTTCTGCGCATTACTTATTCACATTAGATTTTTTTAATGAAAGTTTTTGTCCAACCAAGGCCATTTGTAATATCTTCGTGAAAAAGCGCTATCCACCAGTGTGTGTCAATAGCCCAAATAACTCTTCAATAAAAAAATTTTTTTGTTGTATATATTACAGTTTAATTCAATGCTTTTGTGGTGAACGATTCCATTTACACGATTTAATAGTCTTAAGTAAAAGAATTCACAAAAATTAATATTTATATAGATAAGTACCTGTGCCATCGTGAAACCGCCGCCTGCATCAGCAGATAACATATGAACAGAAACAAATGTAAGCACTAGAAAAATGTAAGCTAATCTCGACATACCTGATGCTGTTATGAGCTCGCAATCAACACGTGGAATATTTATTGGTTACATATTTCCTTTTTGCTGTCGCATGGGATTCTGTGACGATATTCCGCTCGTAAGCAAATTTACAGATATAGCAATTATCTTCTTATATAGCAATTTGCAGATATGATGACGTCTAATTAAAGGCTTCGCACTCCAAGCCAAAGTGAACACTGGAATTAATAAAGTATATGAGTGGATGATATGCATTAAACTCACTGTAAATGTGGAAAAATCCAAAGTCATGTTGTTCAGCCCTAAAAGCCGGACTAGAAATCCAAGTCTTTAAATTAAAATTAATGGTATTCCACTAGAAATTGTCCAGTCTTATAGATATCTTGGGCTTCATATTGACCATCAACTCAAATGGAACAGCCACATCACTGAAATGTACGAAAAACTTTCCAGATCAGTAGGGATTCTGGGAAAACTCAAGTATTATGTGCCGAGCCCAACTCTGCGGACTATTTACTTTGCCCTTTTTCAATCACATATCCAATACGCCTTAGCTGCATGGGGCTCCGCTACTCAAACTAGTTTGTGTAAATTAGAGATTTTACAAAATAGGGCTGTTAAAATTCTCTCCGGAGTACCAGTTCGTTCAAACATAAACACCCTATATCATAAAGCCACGTTGCTAAAATTGTCTGACATCTATAAATTAGAAATTTCTAAGATTATGCACCAGTTCCACAACAACCTATTGCCTGCAGCTTTCGCTGATTATTTCCCTGTTCTCAGTAATGTACATGAGCATAACACACGCTCTTCGACAAAATCGATTTTTTTTGTTCCCAAATTTTTGCTAAGCAAGTCCCAAAACTCCTTGAAGTATAAGGGTGTTGTAATTTGGAATGGTATTCCCCAAATCTTACGTGACTCTTCTTATGAAACTTTCAAAACAAAATGTAAAAAATTCTTGCTGTCACTTTACCAGTCTGCTGTGATTGCATCCAAATGATGTGGCCTCAGCACTCTTTCCCGCTTGCTCCGCTAGGCCTATACCTGTAATAATAATACTTTTATTTTTTTTTTCAATTTTTTTATGTCTTCATCTTACTGCATTTTTGCCAATGATTTGAAATATGTATAGTGTGCCATGCTAATTGCATGACCTGTATTTGTTCGTAACCTGCACAATATAGTAAACTACTTTTCTTATGTTTGAAATGGTTCATGAAGCTTTGTACGAATTAAACCACATTGAAATTCTAAGCCCACCTGCTCAAGATCTTGGTTTAATAGCATAACATTGTGACTTGTTTTCTCTTGCAGTCAGTAAAGCCTAAATTGCTTATCTGATTGTCATTATACTTTTATATAACTTTGTAAAAGTATTACCTGATAAATAATATTTTTCATGTACTTTTAAACTTTGCTTCATTGGTTCACTCAACTATTAGACTACGGTATTTGACTCTTCTTAGTTTTGCTGTTTCATGTCTTGTAGTCTATCTAGTTTCCCACTGTGAATGTCTTTTGATACTAGGTTACATTCGTTTCGAATGACTGTTCTGGAACATCTTTCGTATTTTGATATTTCATGTCTTCCCTGATTTTATTTTTCCTGTAACGTTATGTGAAGCCCTGACTCCAGCTGCCAATCACTAGATCCCATTAACAGATACCTCAATTCCTTTCTAGCGTGAAGGTATGGTTTATTCGTTGGTGATCCTATTGTCGTCCTCAGCAAACCATGGGTTCCACTGTACCCATGCGCCATCAGAATTTGACATTTATTGCTCATTGTTAGCGAATGCGCATCACAATAGTATTGTTGTGATACAATCCACTAACGCCATCTCCATGGCTACCGAATCAGTGGTGTTCGGAGTTGTCTTTCCTTTTGTTGAAGCCTAAGTGACTATTATAGTCACTTTGGTTGAAGCGAGCGATTGCTGGTTACAGCAGATCGTCTCGAGATATTTTATGTATTTTTTCCTTTAATTTATTTAAACTTGATTCGTTTTTTTTTTGTTTTTTATATTATAGTTTTAGACTTATTTTATAGGTGCCGCTGCTCGATAACCAGTATTGGGTTCTCGCGTTTCCTTCACCCTGAAATATGGCCAATTTATAATTTAATTTATTGCAATTTGTATGTTTGTGCCCATTTTAAGTATGGTAAGAAATAAACTACTGATTACTGACTGATTACTGATTACTTCGTGGGCTGACTACAGCGTGTTATACTGATAATCAACAAGCTTGAAGTACGTTGTTGCAACTGATGAGTGGTTGAATAAACTAAACTAACAAATCGTTTTGTTTCAAATCTTAGTTTTGTTATGTCAGGGTCGGTCAGAGTTATATTTTATTTTTGAATATTCAAAAAAACATTCAATTTTATGATTAACAAAACGTTGGAGTTTCCGTAATACATTGCAAATGCATAAATGACAGAAGTTGTAAAAAACCGATAGTTTCGTCATCGGGTTGTCAACCATAACAGCCAGGGGGCCCCTCCCAACATTTTTCAAATGCAGTTTTGCGGCATTTGCAGTAAGACATAAATTCGTACGCATTTCCCAATGAGATTTTCCTGTATTTTTGAAGGAATTACTAAAAAACCGGGCGTTTCATGGTTTGATACCCATAATCCTTTCAACGAACGATATGGAAATGCGCGCTTATATGCCTTGGATAACTTCGACTGCGAAGTACAAGTTTAAATACGATATCAGGTTCGAGAATTTCTTTGAAAATATCCCCATTTGAAAGTTCGGTCCAATCCTGCCTTCCTGGTAAATAAAATTGATGGAATATTGGGAAGGCGACGATTCCTTATATTCAACATGTTTTTACTTCAGATTACATAGCTTGATAACTGATAAATTTTTTACTTGTCACATGTTTACATTTTTGGATAGCTGAAGTAGCCAAATGATTGATTGATTTTGTCACAATAAATAATTTATCAAATTAGAATTAAGCGGTGCTGCCGTATTTCAATATCTTTCACTTAAATTTGCTGATTCATCGATGTGTATACCTTGTTGGGACCTGATTTGCAAGTTTGCTATAATGTTTTGAAAAATCAGATATAGAAATTAAGTGTAATTCGCCTAGGCTGGCGGGATTTTAGTTGGTTATTGAATCTTTGTTTCCATTCGTTCTAGATGAATACAACAAGCAAATATGAACAAACATCACACATATGGTTGTTGTTATTGGTTACACTTTATTCCGCCACGGTCGATCTCCTCCGCCACGTGTACCCTACGAGCTTTTTCAGCAAGTAACGGTCCCGATGCCCGACCTTGGTGTTCATGTATTATGGGTATTGCTCTGTCTTGTTCCAATATATAATTTTTAATTTGACCGATTCATTTTCCATACATATTTTGCGAAAAAAATATAAATAATTTTTTAAACAAACAGAGTGCTTGAGAATCTGTGGAAAGTATCACAAATTTGAAATATTATTTGGAGAAGTAAACATAAAATCGACGAATGGCCTTAGTAAGCTAATTATTTCAATTAATGAGTTCAACTACCTGTTACAGGTGATCTTCCATACACAATGAGGTAATCCCACGCATTAGCAAATCATCAACAAGCGTACATTACAACCACATTTTTGAATTTGGCAAGTTATTATTTTCATTTGGCAATTAATGTTCTTATCTTTAGTATGCGTAATAAGTGATATAAAAGTGATATATATAATAAGTGACGTATATGGGTAGTCTGATACGCGTAACACCAGTTGCCCTGGCCAAGTTTCAAAATTTCAACATTTATATCTTGAGATATCCTAGTAAAGTTATTCAGTGTGTGTACAAGAGAAAGCCGCCAGACATATTTAAAAAACATGCATATCTTTACGCCTGTATTGATATTTGTAGGTAAGTAATTTGTAGATATTACTTCTCATTGGTGATTTTCAACCATGAGTATAGATAGATACAATTTACCTCATTACGGAGAGTGAATAGACTTGTTGAGGTAAAATGTCTAATTAAAATTAGAATTATTCCGAGAGTATTTTAAACTGTTTGATGTTAATTTCACAATTTCCTAGACGATTTCAATTCTCCAGAAATACATAAACTTTTTGTTTTAAAATTTGAATTTTTCGGCAACGATAAAGGTAATTTATGGTATTACATTTTCCCCCGCATATAGCTAGCTGTACATATATGCCATACCTCATGCTAGTGGATTGGCAAAAGGAAAATATTTTACGTAACTAATCTTCAATTTTGTTCACCTATAGTGGCATCAATACTTCACCAATCTTTTGGTGAGAACCCGATAAACGTTGATTTATGTACAACACCCGAATATGGAGTAAAACTTAAGTAAGTCTTTTCTCAAATGTTTCTGATAATAGTGAGAGAAAGCAAGAATACAGTATATAAAAAAATAAACATAGATAAGAATTAATAAATGAATGTGAAACGGATTAAACGAGTGGCGTAGCAAAACTTTCGTGGACGCCCCCGCAAAAATATTTCATGGAAATGACCCTAAAAACTCTCGGACATAAGCTAAATCAACGCTCTTTTATTTCGTCAAAAAGCATAAAATGTCGCTATTAAAAGGCAATGATAACATAGAAATTGCCGTTTATCTTGGTTACTTTAATTTGTTCATGCGTGCTTCCTCTTCAGCCCTTTTCTGCGTTTCTTTGCGCCACTGAGAGGACATTCTGACATCATTCGACAGCCTTCATAATTTTGCCGGTGCGATCAAACCACAAGACGTCGAAAATCGACGACTCCCTGGCATTGTTACGTAACAAAACGATTTGAGCAGAACTAACATCAACGTTAGATGTGCAATACTGGCATTACATTGCAATGCAACTTTTGGTTTTGCGGCTTACATTTCTAAATTCTAACCGTTTGGGCCTTTTTGCGCTGTGGGCCCTGCCGCGTCCGCGGGGGTTGCGGGGGTGGATGCTACGCCACTGAATTAAACTACTGCCTTATTAATTTTATAAATATGGTAAGTTAAATGTTATTCAACTGTTCCTACCAATTAAAATATAGAATATAGTCAAAGTATAATTTTTTAATTATTTATTTTGCAGATACAGACTTGTCGTTCACGACGTACGGGAATTCAAAGCAGATAATTGTAATTCAGTAAACAAGGCAATGATTATTAAAATAATCCAAAATAATTTAAAACCAAGCAATCATTGTGTTGGAACTTTGCAAATTGGAGGTAAGCAAAGTGGCTAAAAATGAGTTTTTGCGTAAAAACATAGAACGACTTTCTCAATATTTATTGATTGACTGAGTTTTGATTCTGTGGCTACAAACAACTTTTTTCCCTTGTGGAATAGAATACTTGTAAAGATGAAAATTTTATCCGATTTACAATAGTTGGTAATCGTTGATACTTTGCCAAAACTTTTAGAGCAGAAACAGTTGCTTCTCTCAGAACTTGTTTATGAATTATTCTATGATACATAAATGCACTACTCGTATAGTTTATGATAGTTTTTAATTGTGTTTTTAATCACCTGTTTCATTGAATAGAGAGTTAAAAATGTGTTAGTCCTTGTTATCCATTTCAAACCCCCGCATAAGCATATAATTTCCTCAAATATCACAATCATCGGACAAACGTGAAGCGTTTAGTTAAATTATTAGTTAAATAAGATACGATATACACAATATTGGTAGTTCTATCGTTAGAAAACAAATATTTATGTCAGTTTGTTTTTAATATAAGCTTTTTGGGCGTAATATTATACTGCCGATAGGGATTTGTTTTAAAAAAATGTTTTGAATCAAGTATTTTTCGCCTGTCTTGTATAAAATAGCTGTATAATTTTATTTTTTGTATTAAATTGTTCAAATCCAAAACAATAAAAATGGATGTAAAAACTTTCCAAGCGCTTTCTATTCCCAATAAATCCTCCAAAACGCCGCAAATATCGAAGACTTGCCGAAATTCGCATTCTCAAGCTGCAGCGCACAGTGGCTGGCGGAGGAAGACGTAAACGATAAGCCATTACGTGAATCAACCTGCGACGACGAGGAGTCCAGCAATCCTTTTTCACATTGTCACAACACTCATGGTATTCGACTCAGGGTTGGGTATACCATTAGATAAAGTAGGCTAAAGCCTAGGGCCCTCAAACCTTGAAAATCCATTTTAAAACGTGAGGGCAATTTCTAGAATAATGTCAGTCTAAAACTTTATAGATATCGTATTTTTCGTTAAGAATTTCAAATATTCACCTTTTAAAAATATTTAAAAATAGAAATACAACAGAATAAATGAATTTGTATAACTTTGAACTATATCCCTTGGATCTTGAAAACAAAGTATAGTAATTTGAAACTAAACAATAAACCGTGATAAAGACTTTATTTTATGAAAAATATTTTGTGGGCTATGTTTCAGGTTTTTTTTGCCTTTTCTTACTTAATACGTCTCCCTGATATCTCGAAAAATGAAAAATCTTATGACTTTGGTGTAGGTAATAACTTAGTGATAAAGTTATGCGCTCAAAAAGTATAAGTCAAATCGAAAATTTTTAAATTTTCGAAATTTGTATTCCGCAGCGTGTGCAGCTACCCGAATGCAACATTTTGGCGTAGTTTTACGGCGATGCAAGGGGTTTTGCATTAAAAAATACAAAAAATACAAAAAAATTTGATTTTAAGCAAGACTTGTAACAAAAACACTTGTATCAAAACAGACAGTATTTTTTAGAATTGATAAAAAAAACAAAGCCCTAACTGCCGATACCGATGACATGCCCAATTATGTGTTTTTGATAAAAAAAAAAAAAATTATTCCATATGTGGAGGCCATTTGTTGTTTGACTTTTGTGCTTAGATCCGAATATACAGGGCTGTTGTGGCAAGTAATCTCATATTGAAAGTTCTAATATACGTTTGTGCAAATGAGCTCTAATAAAACGTTGGCTAGCGACTTTTTCAGTGATATATATGTCTGTCATGTTAGTCTAAATCAGGGGTCTCCAACACGCGGCCAGCCAGGCATTTTTGTGCCACCCGCGACATGGTTGGGATTTTCCATAAAAAACTAAAATAGTACGATGTCAACTATTAGTAAGTTTTATCGTGTCCTTTATCATCAAGAGTCCGGTCCGCCAAACGGTAAAAAGTGAAGCAAAAATTTCCCCCTGGTCTTCCACTTTACCACCTTCATGTTTTATTCAATTGTTATAATCCAAATATAAAAGCAATAATTTCATTTCGCCTGTTCATTGTTACGAAATAAACGAGTTTCGGTCAGACGATTGTGCCCTAAAGAAGGTTTGCAAAGCTAATTGCACATTCACGTCGCGTAATTGCGACGTTTGGTAGTTCTTATATTTGCGAGCAGTTTTTTTTCAACTATGAAAGTTAGCAAGTCAGCCCTCCGCACACGACTAACGGACGAGCATTTGCACGTTGTCTTAAGACTAGTAAAACAACGCGAAATAAGGCCAAACATCGAGACCAAATATCCAGCACAATTAAATGAATATGTTTCATGTCTCGTTTGCTGTAAGATTCAAGGGTAATTTCAACGCAATACATTCATATACCCATTTTTCTACCTCATTTCATAGTTTGCGGCCCGCATGGTCAATAAATTTCAAAAAGTGGCCCGCGACATGTTTTGAGTTGGAAACCCCTGGCTAAATCAATTTTTATGTTTTTATTGTAAGGGCTAGGGTACGACGTCATAGTCGTAGACGACGTCATAGACGTTGACGACGTCATAGACGTCATAGTCGCCGTGAAAGTGCTATATATAGATGGGTTAGTCCTTGTTGGTTAGATCCTAAAATTAAAGTGGTTGGCGGAAAAGAATGTGCAAAACAATGCAATATTATATTTCATGGTTCGAGAATCTATATAAATTTCTTGAGAATTACAAGCACAAAGTTTTCCAATCGTCAACTTTTGAAGAATGCTTGTTACAGTGTGTAACACCTTATGAGTTGAAATGAAAACATAAAATTTGAGACATACTTTGTACTGCGAGCTCTCCATAGACATACAATATATTATTAAAATTCCAAATTGTGTTTTACATGGTATAATGTATGAAATATTCTGAGTGAACATCCATCTATTTGTATTCTTCATGTTTTTCAGCTGGCCCAGTGAACTTAGAACTTTGTGATTACCAACCAGGCGACTGCTTTCTTTGTGCGTCAAGAGCTGTGAATGATGAATCTATTACTGAGGATTGCAGTAGGATATTTCCTTATATTATTGAGGATAATATGTTTCCGATAACTTTGACGTATAAGGCAGTGGATGGTTTCTCCAATCCATTAAACGAATTTCATATCTACTTCAAGTACGCGATGATAAACATTACAGGTAATAGCGATATATCAACAATAAGGCATTTTTTTTTTGGGGGGGGGGGGGTAATTTAATCATTGTGATTGTAAGTACGCAGTTTCATCTTCATACGCGGCATTATTTTTCTTTAACACACATATTATAGTATTAATTTGATACGCGAGAAACCTGAAACTCACACAAAATGAAATGTTATAATTTCTTTAAACCTATTTGATAACAGATACAGTAATTACAAAACAATATATTTAATTCATAGAAACATACTTGCTTGTAGCAGCCAAGAAATAATTGTGTCGTTTAGAGAAACGCATTTGATAAGAATATTTTAGGATTGAAAGATAATATAACATTGTATTAAAATGCGGTATCACGTTTTTTCTTGATTAAAATGTTACACGTTTAAAAATAACTCATGTGCTTAGGTATGAATTAGTTAGGATTTATGGACATTGCGTAAGACATTGTATTTAAAATAAAATTTTTCAAATTGACAATGACAATTTACAATACAATATTAAAAACAGAACTGTACCAATTTTAGGGCATCAACAAACTACAGCAAGGAATAATATTCCGACCACATCTATCTATCACTTCACAAATCAACAAACTGCAGAAAAAAATAATGTTCCCATCACATCTAACTATCATTCCACAAATTCAGAAAATGAGCCGACTGGGACAAAACCTGGACATTTTGTGAACGATACACAGAAAGGCATTACTTCAATTCCACTGTCGACGACAATAGAAGATTTAAAAACACCCAACGGTTTTGATGAAAACTGTAATACAAAGGATAACCCAACTTTGATAATTGTTCTGGCAACCTTGCTTGGTTTAGCAGTACCTCTTGTAATCATCCTAACATTGAGGTAATTATGAATAAATTTTGAGTGGAACCTATAAAAATACCCATATAAATTGTAGGAAATCTAGTTTAATTTATACTAATCCCACAAGATTAATTTTGTATGCAATACTTTGGAACCACTTCCATGTCGACAGTCAAATTTCAGAAGTACTCTTTTGGATTTCTTCAAGCTCCCATGATTCCTATTTTATTTGTTTTAGATTGTTTCGCAAACTGGCATATTATCGCCAGATAGTATCTACAACTTCGAAAATTCTCCGAACTCCGAAACCCGAACTGCAGAATGAGAACGAAATTCGACAAGAGAACGAAGTGCAGCAAGAGAATGAAATGCAGCAAGGAAGTGAAGTCCGCCACGAGAACGACGAGGCCCAGGAAGAAAACAACCCAGACAACATAGAAGATATGTATAGCGTCGTCAACAAAAAGGAAAAAACTTCAAAAAACGAAAAAGAAATGGTAGACAACGTCCTTTATAATATGTAGATGCATTCATTTTTTTCCTCAAAACACTAAGATTTGATAATATTTATACGGACAACACGATACGGCTACGTATATTGCAGCAAATTTTTTTTCCAATTAAAGTAATACCGAGGAATTTCGAAATTTCATTCGAAAGGCTATTTTCTTTATTTTATTATTTCACTTTCTTTGAAATTTTTTGTTCATATTGTTAAGCTTTATTTTTTTAAACATTGAATATGTATGTCGTGACATGGATATAAATTTTCCCGTGCTTGAGGAATTGCCCTCATTCTCAGCTTTCAAATATTTCCATCTCGATAAAGAATAATATTCTAGGAAGGATTCCAAGTTTTCAGAATAGATCTGATACAAACATTTATTGGCTGGTAGACTGGTAGAAATGACGCAAAATGTGACGTGAAAATACGTCATAGTCACACTGTCTAATGAAATAATATGAATCATCAAACTTGCTTCCATTGAATGAATCATCACCTATGTCAGGTTAGTTGCTCAAATTTGAATATTTCGAATAATATTTGTACGTTAAATGTTTTTGGTTTCGTGATTTTCTTATTTATTTACGCATATGCAATGTTCATCACTTTACTGCACTGCTTTCCTCGTTTCAGAATATTAGTTATATTATATATTCATAACATTGCCGTAACATACCAAAGACATACCAAACTTTATTCTATTTGAAAACACTTATGGTAAAATAGAATCAAAATGCATCTTAGCAACACTGGGGCGCAATTAACCAGTGCTCGCTTGTAATTGCATAATAATTCAATATCATAAAACACCTAAATTACCACCGGTATTTCCCACCCTCGCTCTTAATAGAATGTTAGAAGAAAAGTTAAAGATTTATACCTAAGGAGCTGCTATAGTTTAGAAATACCGGAATCTTTTGTTTATTGAAACTAACTGGGTTTATGACAAGCTGTTGGTTGGTTCCGACTTTTTACGCGCATCAATGAACCAAGTGAGCTGCCCTTATAATTAAACCAACCATATTGATGTATTCCTATTTTATTGTATGTTTTATTTTATCTATAAATAATTTCATAACGTATTAAATACTTCAACGTTACCGAGTACAAATCAAATCATTTTTGCGAAATATTCCAGGTTAACTGGGGCGTATCTAGGGTGTGGCAGCCATGGCTCGTGCCATGGGCGCCGTTTGAACAGGGGCGCAAAAACGGCGAAAAGTATTAATAATAAAACGTTTCAATGAAATAAATTTCAAATTGGAAATAACCAAAACTCCTAATTTTACTCAAATAATAACCTAGAAGTATCCTAATTTATTAATAATCATTATAAATTGTCAAACAACTATCAAGTGGGTGCATTTTTAGACTCTGCCATAGGCGCCATTTTAAGTAGATGCGCCACTGCAGGTTGGGAATAAAATATAAACCTATTAGCAAATAATTCTATGTCTTTGAGTAATCCATGAAATGTCGCATTTGCGGACCACGGTGTTGCAAATGCTAATTTTGTTATGAGACTATGGCTACGTGTGGTTATAGTAAATTTGTATACTAAAGTAAAACACAACACTGAGTTAGCATATGCAAACATTCTTAATCAGCGAACTGATAACCACCGTAAATCTTTTAATTACCCTGCGAGTTTATGATGATATACACATTTTTGAATTGTGAATAAATCAAACGTTGATAGAAATGTGCTTATGAGCAAATCGGTTTGAAACGTTGACTCATCGCAAATTATTCTGAGGTTATCCACTACAAATATGCGGTAGGCAATATAAGTATTGACTCAAATTAACTCAACTACATGCTTCACGAAAGCTCATATTATTGTTTCATTCACCATGATTCATCATACTCGAAATTTGGCTAGTATGAACATATATTTGCTGATCTTGCTTGATCTTTACGTCGGGTTTTGTGGATAGTATTTAATTATGCCTATTCTACCAGTAGTGCTTATTTCACAGTGAGCAATGCAGATATTTATACTCACTAGTTGACATATAAGACTGAAAAATATATGGAAATAAAATAAGGGGTAACTAGGTGTAATTTAGAGTAGACGACAACAAAATGTGAAAACGTTGTAAAATAACTTCTAACAATACAAGTACATACATTATAATTTGATAGGATTTTCTACTGAGGTAACACTCATAAATCACATAAAATATTAGGGATAATCAAACTTAAGTCATACCGTGATGAATCGGAAAAGATCCCGATTGTGATACGCAAAATCTGTCCCGAAGTAAATTGTGTGCTTTGAAAATACTTCAACTTCGTTTAATTTATGCTTCTACAATTATTTTAAAGAATAAGCAGAGATCATTATACTTATATATACATATATTGTAGATTTTTTTTGCATGGCTTTAATATTTGGCAGAAAAAATTCTTAAAAAATTTTTATTTACTAAAATTATTGCTGGTGTTTGTATTATTTCTATTCTTATTTTTTGTAAGTCAATCCTGAATATTATGTAATGAATGTTATCAACTCTTTTTTTCTTACATATCCGAGCGCAACCTATTGTTGGGGCTTCAGGTGATATAAGTCGGATTGTTATCATATCACCGCATCTTAAGTTCAATTGTTTCATGCAAAAAGTGCGTTCTCGCATTCGAATCTCATCTCGCGAAAAACTGTTATGGTCGGTGCTAGTTATTACCTTCAACAACTTTCTGGGAATTTCTAATCACATTTTATCTTCAAACAATAAAATAGAAAAACTTGAAGTGATTTATTACGGAGATATATTTATCCGGCTATTAAATTGGCAATCTTTCTACTTTAGTTTTTCAAAACCTGTTTCAACTTTTATCCGATATTTGACCTGTAGTTGCACCGTGCGTGGAATTAGTCATGAGCAAACTCACACGACATAATTTCCACACTTTAAAGTGGGCAAGTTAAACTGCCATGAACTATACCAGGAAGAGCATGTCGGGTCAATAAATTTGATTAACAAAGCATATTGAGCTTTGATTGTTTTATTAGAAAAATATGGATGCCTGAATGAAATAACATTGGAATTATATTCTGAAAACGCAGTTTAAATCAGGAGATATTTCGCGTAAAGTATCACAATTGTGATCGTTGCCGATTCATCAAGGTATGACATAAGTTTAATGATCCCGTATATTTAATATGATTTAAATGTGTTACCTCAGCAGCAGATCTTATCAAATCATTACATACTGTGAACATATGGTATTTTTAAGTGTCATTCTACAACGTTTTCACCTTTTGTTGCCTGCATCGATTACACTTATCCGTCCCATATGTTATTTTAATATATCGTTCAGTCTTTTGAGTCAACCCATGAGCACGAATACCTGCATTGCTTATTATATCATACTTAGAATTCTATTGTTTACCAGGATTTCTAAACTCTAAAGTATAGTAAATGTGACGTAATTGAATGCAAATCTATAAAACCCAATGTAGAAATCTAGCCAAATTATATTTTCATACTTGCCACGTTTCGAGTATGATGAATCATGGTGAATAAAACAATAATATAAGCTTTCGTAAAGCATGCGGTTGTATTAATGAGTCAATTCGAGTCGATACATATATTGTCTTCTGAATATTTGAAGTGGATAAGCTAAGAATAGCTTGCGTTGAGTCTACATTTGAACACGAATCGCTCACACGCAAATTTATATCACCTTCGTTTCGATCATGATTCAAAAATATGGTCCTCATCAACTAGCAGGGTCATAAAGAGTTTACAACAACTATCCATCTAAGATTTTTAAATATTTGAATATGCTAGCTCTGTCTTATACTTTACTGTAGTATACAAATTTACTATAACCGCGTGAAGCCTTAGTACTAAAACAAAAATCTGCACATCGGAACACCTTAAGTCCGCAAATGCGGCACGTCATTAATGCACATACCCGAATATTTGGAATTAATTGCAAACCGGTTCATATTTTAGGCCCTAACCTAGAATATTTCTCAAAAATACTAATTTGATTTGTGAAAACTTTCATATATTACTCAATAAACGTTGAAATATTTAATAGGTCATAAATAACATTTAAATTAGATAAAGTAAAACATACAATAAAGTAAAAATACATTTGTTCAAAATTAGTTGGTTCAATTATAGTGGCAGCTAATTTGGCTCAACGTCACAACGTCACAATCGCCATCAAACCGCCTCAAAAGGTTGTAATAAATTTATTAAATTTTTCTTAATTAAGTTTACGGCATTTCTAAGCCAAAACAGCTCCCTGCGTATGATTTACTCACTGTTTATCTAAAAATCTATTCAAAGCAAAGTGGGAAATAATGGTAAGTGGTAAGTGGTAATTTAGGTATTTTATGATATTAAACCATCATGCAACAAACCAATGTTGCTAATGTGCATTTTGACTATTTTATACCAAAAGTGTTTCCAAATTGAATAAAGTTTGGTGTGGCTTTGGTATGATAGAGCAATGTTAAAGATATTACTAATGTAACAAGGTAAGCAGTACAACAAAGGGCTACACCATTACCTGTGCGTAAATAAAAAATAAAATCACAAAAACAAGGCATTTTATGTACAACTAGTTTAAATTCGAGCATTTTTTATAAGATGTATGTGATGAATCATTCAATGTAGGCAAATTTCGTGATTCGTTTTATTTCACTAGACCGTGTGATTAAGACGTATTCCCACGTTACATTTTGCGTCATTTCTACCTGTCAATAAATGATTGTATCAGATCTATTCTAAAAATTGGAATAATTCCTTAAATATTAATTTTTTATTAAAGAGGAAATATTTAAAAGCTGCGAATGAGAGCAATTCCTCACGCACGGGAAGATTTATATCTACGTCACTACACACATATATGATAAATAAAAATAAAGCCTAGCTTGATGTACAAAATTTGCTTTAACAAAAGTGAAATAATAGAATAAAGAAAATAGCTTTCAAATGAAATTTGAAAATTCTTCGGCATTACCATAATCGAAAAAAAAAATGCTGTCATATAAAAAGCACGTTTCGTGTTGTCCGAAGAATTATTATCAAATATTAGTGTTTTGAGAAATGAATGCATCTACATGTTATAAAGCACGTTGTCTACCATTTCTCTTTCGGACTCAACGTTTTTTGAAGTTTTTGCGTTTTTGTTGACGACGCTATACATAGCTTCGATATTTTGCGGGTTGTTTGCTTCTTGTGTCTCTTCGTTCTCTTGCTGCACTTCGTTTTCTTGTCGCATTTCGTTCTCATGCCGCTGTTCCGGTTTCGGGGGAATCTTTGAATTTGTAGATACTAGCTGACGATAGTATGCCCATTTGCGACGAAAGCTGAAAGAAAACCAAACGAGAAGTTCTGAAATTTTGACTATCGTTGATGTCAATAAGTAACGACTTGAAAGTGGTTGTACGTCTTGTATAAAAAAGATTATTTTCTCTGTGATTAGCATAAACTAAACAAAGACTTCCTACAATTTATAAAATGCTTTTTTTGGAATTTTTTTCATGAAATATTTTTAAACAAATCTATCGGTATTTATAAAAACTTGAAACTGAACCATACAGTATTGTGAAAATCGAAAATAAATATGTACATACCTCAATGTTAAGATGATGATAAGAAGTACTGCTAATCCAAGCAAGACTGCCAGAATAATTATCAAAGTTGGATTATCCTTTTTATTGCAGTTTTCATCATAACCGTTGGGTGTTTTTAAATCTTCTATTTTTGTCGACATCGGAATTGAGGTTATGTCTTTTTGTGTATTGTTTATCAAATCACCAGGTTTTGTTGCAGTCTTTCCATTCTCTGAATATTTTGTTTGATAGTTAGATGTGGTGGGAACACTGTTCCTTTCTGTTGTTTGTTGATTATTGACGTGATAGATAGATGTGGTCGGAATAATATTTCTTTCTGTAGTTTGTTGATGGTCTACAAATAGGCACAGTTTCGTTTTTATCATTGTATTGTTACGTATCATTGTCAATTTAAAATAGATCATTTTAAGTATAAGCCTTCGTTATATTTCAAAACCCTAAGTAATTCATATCTAATTTTTTCCATCGTGAAACTTGAGTGCTTTTAAACCGTGTAATTTTTCAATCAAGACACATTTGCTACCACATTTTATTTGGATTCCTTGTTATTGTTATATTATATTTCAGTTTCAAATTAATCTTATAATATATGTTTCTCTGGCCTAAAAAAATTAGTGCTTTGGCTACCACAAAGGAGCATGTAAGTACCACTGAAATGAAGATATTTTAAGGCATTACTGTATCTGGTATTGAATAGAGTTAATTAATTATAACATAAGTTTTATTTTTTGTGTGATTCAGGGTTGTCGCGTATCAGAATAAAACTTTTCAATATGTGTGTTTTATATGTGAATAAAAATGCCGTATATTATTACGAAAATAATTATAATGATATATAAAATAAGTTCACCAATATTATTATCATATGGTGTAAATTTCATTTAAGCAATATAATATAAATTGAATAGCCATAATTTAATTGTCTTGTACTCCTATAAAGCTCCTTACCTGTACTGTTTATCATGGCGTACATCCATTTGATTCTAAATTCTTGGAATTGATAAGGAGAACCATGCGTGGTCCTATATGTCAAATTCATCGGGAAAATATCATTTGCAATGATGTGAGAATATGTATTATTACATTCCGCGGTGATGGATTCATGAGGTACTTCTCTTGTAGCAAAAAAGAAACAGTCGTTTGTTTGGAACCTACAAAGTTGTTTGTTCACTGGGCCGGCTAAAAACATTAAGAATACAAATAGATGGATAATCACTCGAAATATTTAATACCATGCTAAATAATCATGTGACACACAGTTTTTAATTTTACCACAAGTTTTTATTTAATTTTACAAAGTGCTACACAATATGACAAGCATTTTTTGGAAGGTAAAAATCGGAAAAATTGCGATTATAATTTTTAAGAAATTTATATAGTTTTTGAACCTTGAAATATCATATTGCTTTTTTCACACACTCTGCATTTTATGCTCTAACCAACAAAGACAAGGCAACCTGTATTGCTATCTTGAGGCGTTGGAAAATTAGCATTTGTTTCAAGTATATATATATAAACTAGGAAACTGGTTCGTCGTATCATAGCTTGGTGTTCCTCTATATCAACATGAAAATGCAAACAAAACTAATTTAAATTAACATGACAGACATATTAATGAAAAAAGTTGCTTGCTAACGTTTCATTAGAGTTTATTTGCACAAATCAGATTTGAACTTTCGTTATGAATAATCGCCATATTTGCCTTCTATTTTGGGATCCAAGATAAAAACTAAAGTAACGAATGGCCCCCATACAAAGTAACTTTTCTCATAAAAGTCTTGTTGGCATGTCATCGGCTTCTGTAGTATAATATCAAGCTCACCAAACCTTCTATTCTAAACAAATTGACATTAACATTTGTTTTATTACGATTAAACTACCAACACTGTTTGTCCTTATAAACAAAACATTTTTTTGCACCTATCGACAAACTGACACAAGAATAAATTTTTGCTCAAGTAATTTCTGAGATGAACATATTTTGACTTACCAGTAATTGTTAGAGATCCTATGCAATCAGTGTTGTTTTTCAATTTAATGTTGACAAGTTTGAATTTAATTACACTGTACTCTGATTTACAATCATTGGTAATGAGATTATCAATTTGATGAGTATACCTGGATCTTCTGCAAAACCAAATTAAGAAAATGGAGAGTATGAAGAGAGGAAGATGTCATTTCATAATATTACACCTCAAATAATTTTAAATATTTTGTTTCAATGATGTTTTCATCTTGTTCTTTGTTATTACATATTTAATATATTATTTATATTATATAAAATCACTCGTTTTTCAATTTAGTATTTTATTCTAACAGTGTTATCAAATAATTCGGTGTGAAGCCCGATACTCACCTTAGGTTCCAAGATTCAATAGCCGTCGAGCACAAATTTTTTACAATCTGAGTCTGACCATACGAATTATGAGCTAATGCAGCCACTGTAAATAGTTGGATATGACAATTATTTTCATTGGCATAACCACGTGTGGAATAAACAAATTATTGCTGATGAGATTCTGATTTTGAATATCACTTCACATCAATCTCAACTCAATCATGAGGAATCAAAATTTATATATAATCACGAATAGTGTATTGGGGAAGTATGAACAAATAACACGTTGTACAAAAACAATTTTGCTCAGTCAGGTAAACCTTGAACATTGGGTTATTAAAAATCAAAAATATCATGTGGGTAAGTAGGCCTGAAACTTCTGATAATTCAAACTCAAAGGTATTTTCAGACTTTTTCATTTCATTTAGTCCGAGGCAGAGCGAAATATTTTGACCAAATTAATCTATTGCTCTATTATGAAGAGAAGTAAACAACACTTACCTGGATAATCTAAATTTTAGTGAAACATTTCAATCAAAATGATCCCTAGACATGTTGATCCAGGTAGTAAAAATATTTATTTTGCTTGAATTAATGAGATGCCAACTATAAAAAAATAAATGTAAATAACTTACGTGTAAGCAATAAAACGTGTTGAAACCGATACATGTCTTTTTTCAATTTTACTGCTTCTTCCACTTGCAAACGAACCGAATAACTAACTATCTTTGGTATCCCGAGATGACAAATATTCAATCAAAAAATTTGGCCAACATATCTTTCGTTTCTAATGCATTACTGACATTTACCATGCACGTACTCCTTTATCGAGCTTACTAAAGCGGTGAATATTACTTGCTAAATTCGTACAGTAATTGTAAAGTACGCTCGGTGTGGAATTAGTAATGCGTGGGATCACTTCCTCCTATGCAAGCAATCAGCTGTTACCGTTTACTAAGCCTCAATATTTGAAATAATGATATGACTAACGTAATTTGTCGTTTTAGCTTGAATCTTTCAAAATATATATGTATATATGATGTTGTTCACAAATTTTTTTAACACTTTAAATTATGCATTGAAAATGATAGTATCAAATCCCTAAATATTGCCATGAAAAAAAAAGTAATGCTCAAATCGGCGGTCGCGTATCGGTACCTGATCAGTACGATTCAGCTGAGCATTGAAAAGATAGGCGAAAAAAGGTAACGGAATAGCGAATTTAATTTCATAACTAAATAATCTTATAATAATTATTTAAATTATTGGGACTCATGACAGTCAGCTTATATTTGAAAAATGAATCAAAGTTAATTGTCTTCTTTCTTCTGTACTGACAATTTGAAATTGATTAACTCATTATTTGTGGGGAAAATCCATTTTTTGTACAACAACAGCAGTCACTTCACATAATCATCAATACGAACAAGAACAACAAAAACATTTCATCCAAAGAATCTATATGTTTGCTTTGTACCCAACAAGGCCTCAATACTCAAATATATCTGCTCCACGATTCATCGACTAACCACAGTACTGATAATCTATGCGACTAAAATAAGTTATCTGATAATTCGAAATTTTCAGTGCAAAATTTCATATGAAGTTCTACTGCCAAAGTAATCCACATCGGTACCTGTAAAGCCGTAGCTGAGCAGTGAGTGCCCTCCTCATCAAAATGATGACAAACTGATATGACGTAATGACACGTTGTGACAATTTAACAATGTTTTTGTATTGGAATTTTGAAAATGATCGGTCCATTAGTTACGAAATGAGCGATTTTCAACAACAACAAGAACAAGAACATTCGCGTATTTTTCAAAAATATGTATGTATTTTTTCACCTAACGATGCTATCGGTTGGAATCAAATCGCGACGTAATATCATAAGTACAGCCATAAAAATCCTAATCTGATAGCCGTACAAATTGTATCCAGATTTATTCCCGTAGTGTGTGTACCAGGTTAGGGTTAGAACATACTTTTATTCCGATTTTCCTTATTTTAGTCCTTCTAGGAGTTCGGGGACTGTCTGTGTTATTCATTCAAAAATATACCCCCTTCCCATAAGTTTCAGTCCATTTACACAACTTGATGTAAAATAGGCGAACAAAATTAGTTACCTCCATATTGGTACACACACTTCTGGAGCGCCCAAATTTGCACCAATGGCAGGGCTGACGAGAAAAATGATTTATGAATATATTTTTATTTTTCAAGTTACTGAACCAAATCATAAACGCAAATAAAATATACATTGAATTTTACGTGCTAATATTAATTTTTTTCATTACAATCATATACGTTTTAATTGCTTTTGGGGAGCAATTTTTTTTATTTATTATGGAAAAGAAATTTTTAATAATAATCTAAGAAACGAGCAATCGTTTTAAATTGAACCAAGTATATGAAGTCATATAGGTTTAATCAACAGGACAAATGAAAACCAAATGAATTGAACATGTCCTATTTATTGTATTTATACTCTAAGCAACAAGCAGTTGTATTGCATGCTTTAAATAATTCGCATTAATTAAAGCCTAAACGAACTAAGATTCGATGTAATTTGAGATGTCACCCACGCGGGATTGAGGCACTTATTATTACATCCTGTTTATCGCACACTTGTATGGCAAGTATTACCTAACATGAATTTTTATTGAACAGATATTTCTTCTGGATATTCTTCTATACTTTATTACTTTATTATTCACACTCTGTTGCTCTTCATCCAAGCTCCTAAATACTTGATCACAATCCGGAGTCATTACACATTTTGATATTTAAAAAAAACTCACGATAATTTCTATTTAATAAGTATTCCTCATTATGTTGCAATTTATAAAAAAAAATTCATAAGGAAGCTGCAATTTACCAGGGTATGATCTACGCTTATGAATTCAAATAATATATTCCTTATACAATGTTTTATTTAGAGCGATACTGAATTAGCATATCTTTATACAAACTTTTATAAGTTTCTTAACATTTCATGCATGACCAAAGAAAGACGACAAATATTTCAAATATTTGTATATTACAAAATGAAAAACAGGGTTGTGAAATACAGGATGACTGAAAAAAAAAGGCATGAATAAAAGGACAAGACTATGAATTCCGAAAAAATAAAAATAAAATAAATTTAACACTTGGGACTTTTATTTGTTTTATGATTATGCCCAAAAGTTTCGGTAATCTAAGACGTTTCGCACAAAATATTCTTCTAAATTAGGTTCCAAATGATCTGTGTTCGGTTTTTATATCACTCTGCATTTAACATGACTTATGAAAAATTAAAATAGACACCCAAATTTTCGCAGTTTGTAGTAATTTACTCTAAAATATTTCTAAGCCAAATGAAAGTATTTATGTCTATCGATTTTACTCGTTTACCGTTAAATTCTTTTATGAAATCTGAATACGTGTTCTCAAAAGCTTTCTTAATTTTTTTCAATGCCATCTTGGAATTTTATAATATGTATTGGAAACCGGACCCAGTTGTATTTAATAATATGTTGAGTCAACATGGAAATGATTAAGGCGGGAAAATGAAGGATGAAGTGCAGCGGTCGTGTAAACTGTGGTTAAATCTGTGGGGTGAAGTGTTAAAATTTTTTGCAGCCAATTATTTGCCAATGATAAAAGATTGCGGAACTATTAATTTTTTATTAAATATTTTACAGTTTGAAGGAATTGAACGTTGGTTGTAATCAACATGTTTAGCTAATATCTAACAGTAAATCAGATCCAAAATGTGTATACAGTTGGGCATGTACAATTTTCAAGCTGTTTCAAAAATACAATTTATCCAAGAAAAACGTATAATGAGTTATTTGATATTGTGAATAAAGTTAATTATCTGATATACATATTTCAAAAAAAATTTTTTTTGAAAGTTTATCACTCAAAATATTCACTTATCACTCAAAATATTCACTCTTGTTATCACTCCCAAGCTATCAGTGTTTTGCACAAAGATAATGGTAATGGTAGGCTCGTATTCAGATGATCCATCAGGTTGCGGCAATGAATTGCTCGTCAAGTATTGGACCTGACGTCTTGGATCGAGATGACTAGTCGTTGCAGAATGCTCGTGAAAAATAGGTATTTCATATCCAGAAGATTCGGAAGGTATGGCTGATTGCTTTTTATTGTCAACAACGTTGTTCTCATAGATTTTGTAATTATGACCCAACTGAGCTCTGCTTGTGGTATTCATCTCCGTATTTTCAGTCTTTTGGGAATTAGTTGTATTCTTGTTGTTTTTCGATCTGAAATAAAATATACATATATATTTGAGCAAGAAGTATCTTAGTTTTTGCAGGCTCGGCTATATTGTTGTCAGAGAATTTGACAATAAATACAAGTGATACCGACAATTAAAAAATCCTTACGAAAGCAACAATTTTTTGTAAATACTATTACTGCAGTTCCTTGTCACCAGACTAGATACCCAACCAACACAGTCGATATTAATAAATAGAAAAAATGCACTTTTAAGGCTCTTATATTTACATGTATATATGACTTATAAACGTTTGGTATTTTAAAAGCTGGTAAATTCCAATATTGCTTAGAGCAAGGAAAAAACAAATTTGATGTTAGCTTTTATTGCAAAGGCGACGTCTGTGCGTTTTTATTTCGATGTGCAACTGTGATTTGAACCTTACCTGATAGCAAGGACAATAATGATTATCAATGTATAACGAGAAGAATGCCAAGTTCAATAGTAGAAATGAAGAAAATTTTTCCTCAGTCTCTCTGCCAAAGTCGTCGCTACTTGTAGTTAGTTTTGTTATTTTCTTGACTCCAGTTTGCTCGGACGATACAGTTGTTGTGAACAGGTGCGTGTTTCTTTCAGTGGTTGCATCTTGAGTATCTATGTTAATTTATTAAGTTATGATATAATTCATTATTTTTGAATAATGAACAACGATCACAACATGCACAATTGCGATATCGACAGAATTAAATTTCGAAAATAATAAACTCACTACCAATGATCATTTTGTTATCAGTCTTATTATACTTTTTTTTGTTATGACAGAGTAACTGTACACGCCACATAGATTTTGATCAGAATAAAATTTAATTGCAGGATACGGTTTACGAGGAGTTGCTCAACGTGTACAATTTTTTATAAATACAAAATAACGGTAATGCGTTGTATTATTATTTTCCTTAAACTTTATTTTATATTCTGATGAAATCGGGTTTTAGGAAAACGCACAAATGTCTAATATTATTTGTTTTTATGTTATACATTATCAATGACGGCTTACAATGTGATAACTTTTTAGTTCGATTAAAATTACAAGAAATTTTAGGTTGTACTAAAATTTAGACAATCGTTGTTATCAATTTGTTGCTTAAAAGTGTTTCAATAGTCCTGCGAGTGTCACACACTCACAAATTTATTCTGGATGATAGGTGATAATTAAACCAGACTACAGTTGCTACAATTTATAAACACGATATTTTTCAAGTTTTTGCTAAATATTTTTTGGCCCTATTTATAAAAATGTAAAGCTAGAACTATACAGAATTGAGAAAAATGGAATGTTGCCACTCATGTAAAATATCTCAATGTAAGAATGATTGTAATGATCACTGAAAAGCCAAGCAATTTTGCCAGAACAATTATTGTATTTGGCATTTCATTTCTATTACAGTTTTCATCAGAACCGTTGAGTGTTTGTGAATCTCCTATTACTGTTTACAGTAGAATTGAAGTAATGCCTTTCTGTGTATTGGTCATCAGATTACCAGATTTTGTTTTTACCATTTTGAATCCTAATCTTGCGATACATTTCAAAAACCCCAA